CTCCCCCCAGCCCTCCCCCAGCCCCACCCCCTCACTTTAATCTGACTTCTCCCCATCGTCGTCTTGGTGGGTGTCCCCATCGTGACCGTTCTTGTCCTCCTTGGAGAGGTGGGCTTGGGAGCCCAGGGCCGAGAGCGAGAGGAGCCCGGTGCCGGTGCTGACGGCCGGGAGAGACGGGGGCTGCAGGCCCACGGGCAACGGAGTCAAGGGGAGAGCGAGAGCCTGGAGCTGCGAGAGCTGATGTGCTTGAAGCTGCTGCTGTAGGGAACGATGGAAGAGACGGACAAGAGGGGCATGTGTCATTTGGAAAGTGGGCAGCCCCCTCCGCGACGGGCCCTGCTCCCCTGGGGTAGCGGCCAGCCAAACGGGGCTTCCTCACGCACTGCAGCTGGGGCGGCCGCTGTCTTGCAGGGACTGCACCGGTGACCTCCAGAGCAATGCACAGGCTGCTCGTGCCTGCGTGGAAGCTGCTTAGGCCCCCATAGGAGCCTGGTGTTCTTCTGCAGAACCCCTCCTCCCCTCAAACGCCCCTCCCCCCATCACTTATGCTCATGGCTGAGCTGAGTCCTGGCCCACCCCCAACGCTGCACTAGCCCTGCAGCCAGGATCTAGCCCTCTGCCCGTGCTGCTGGATGGAGCCAAGCGGGCTAGACACCTGCAGCTCAGCTGCCAGCGGCTGAACACGGCCTGGCCTGATGCAGCCCAGGTCAGCTCCTCATCCACCCTGTTGCTACCTGCGCTGCTGGGCCACGCCAGCCCGATGCACCCCTACGGCCCAGCTTGGCCACGGCAGAGCTGCAGCCAGCAGGCATATGCTGTGGTCCAGCGCTCTGCAGGGGCGCGTGATGTCGGTGTAGGGTTTGGCGAGGGACTCGGGGCTCATCGGAGTAGAGGCGCCATTGCACGGTGGTCAAAGGCTGCTGGCTATGACAATGTGCCAAGAGCCTGCCTCAGGTAGGATGGGAAGGGGGCAAAGGATGCAGCAGAGGCAGCGCTCAGAGCCCCCATCCCCCTGCAGAGCTACAACCTTCTTTGCCCTGGCCCCCCTGCAGCGTGCCAGGGCCTGTCTGTTTTAAATAATTCAGGGTAGCTAAAGTGATTGGACCTGGAGCTCACCCCCCACCCCATCTCCACACTTCTCCCCTGCTCCCCACAACCCGCTCCTGACCGCGCATCACGTACACGGATGATGGAATTCAGCTCCGGTGCGGTCACTTGCTTGGCTCGTTCAATGGCTCCCAGGACCTGCTGTTGGTGCTGGGTGGGAGGGAGAAGGGGGAGGAAATAAAACCTTCAAGTCATGTAAAGATCACTGTGTGGGACTCAGCACAGCCAGCTCCAGCCCAAGCTAGGTTCTCCCAGCAGGTTGCACGGCCAGTCAGGTTAAACTCATCCCGCCCTGGGCTAATTGCCGGCCAAGGAGAGGCTCTGGGGAGGGGGAGGGGAGGGAGAGCAGGTGCCTGTAGAATAAGTGCCTGATCCTGCAATGCTCCCCGAGGATGAAGGGGACAAGAGACATTCCTTTGAGCATGTGCTACAGGATCTGTCCCCATTAAGTACACCACGAGGGGGCCATAAGCCAGCCAAAAGACTTTGCTTGCAGGAGGCAAGTTCCTTCTGCTGATTCCATCGGTGGACTTATCCTCCATGAACATATCTAGTTCCTTTATGAACCCAGCTACCACATCACCTGGCAAGGAGTTCCACAGGTTGACTCTGCACTGTGTGAAGAGGTACTTCTCTATGTTCATTTTAAATCTGTTGCCTATTCATTTCATTGGGTGACCCCTGGTTCTTGTCTTATGGGAAGGGGTAAATAACACTCCCTCATTCACTTTCTACACACTCGTCATAATTTTATAGACCTCTATTACAGCCTCTCTGAGTTGTCTCCACAGCACCAACCAGAAACTCCCCTACCAGCACCTGGCTCAGTAAGATCGATTGATGTAAACCAAAATGGGTTAAAATAACCAATTTTAATCATGATTTCGATCAGCAAGCAACACCCTTGATTATAATCACCCATTTTAATTTTGTTTTACATTTCTACATTTTTGTTATTTTTCCAAAAGAAAGGTGGATTCTTGTTGGTTGGTAACTAAGTATACCCTTTAATCTAAATGTGGTGCTTTTTTGCAAACCAGGAGGATATAGTATCTGTTCACATTTGTGCAAGAAATTCTATGGTGAATGATTCAGTTCTTATTTCCTAACTGATTACTTTTGTACTGGGGTGTGTCAAACTCTACAGGGGTTGAAATACAACCAATTAAATGCACAAACAACATTTTAAGAACTGTTAGCTAAATAAAGTCGCATTAAGTGGGCAGGATACGTGACAAAAATTAAGTTTATCAAAATGTGTTTTGCATTGGAAACCGATGGATTTATTAAATAAGTGAAGTGTTCCCCGTAGTAAGTGAATGGAATTGATTGTTTCTGGTCACCATGTCCCTCTACATATTAGATCTAGCACATCTCATCCTTTCATACCTCATTTTTATACACCAATGGAGAGTGACTAAGGGGGAATAGGACAGGGGTCTACAAGATTCTGACCACAGTATTACTTATCCTTTCACACAAGAGCCAGGGGCACCCACATTGACAGGCAGCAGGTTTCAAATTGCAATAAGGAATTACTTCTTCGCACCCCACACACGTAACCCATGGTGCCAGGTGAAGCCAGGGTTGGGGTGGGCAAGCCCCCAGCGGTGGCCCTTGTGCCTGAGACCCCACCACTGTGGGGGCAGGCCTCCACCAAGCGGGGGCAGCCTGTAGCCTTCCACTGCCCCAGCTCCTCCACCTGGAGCACAGGCGGCCCACAGACCTAGCCTTCCCCCCTGCCCGGGGAGGGCAGGGAGTACACAGCACTGGCCAACCTGGAGAGGGAACTTCTCCCTGCCCCTCGCCCCCCTTCATCCCAGCCTCCCTGGCACCAGAACATTGGGAGGGCTGGCAGCGCAGGGTTGAAGCCCAGGCAGCCCCTCCCCGGAGACTTGGGGGGTGGGGTGAGAAGAGGGCTGTACTGAATGGGGGAAGCATGCGAGCAGTGCCAGCTGGCACTGCCTTCCCCTGCCTCTGATATTCACCACCCATGAGTCAATCTGTGGAACTCAATGCCAGGGGATATTGTGAAGTCTAGTTGGATTAGAAGAGTTGGCTGTATCCTCTAACTGCTAGCCAAGATGGTCAGGCATGTAACCTCAAGCTCTGGGCACCCTTAAACCTGGGACTTCCATAAACTGGGACTAGATGGATTGGGGGGGAGGAGAGGAAGGGGTGTCGATCACTCAATTTCCCTGCTCTGCTCATTCCTTCTGAAGCTTTGGCACCAGCCTCTGTCAGAAGACAGGATCCTGTGCTAGACGGACCCTGGTCTCCAAGATGACCATTCTTGTGCGCTAACAAACATTTCTGCTTTTTCCAGCCACCTATTGGTCTCTCAGGTTCGAATGAACAAGCCACGGAACTGAATAAACTGAAAGGAAGGAAATATTCCCTCTGCACCTGCAGAACCTGAGTTAGCCCTTCAGGAAGCCCTGGTTAAAGGTGCTTCACTAGGGCCTGCTACCGGCTCAGTACAGTACTGGGTAAAATTATTTACCTAGTATTAACCGACTAGAGTAAGTTAAGGCCTCAACATTTTTCCACCATTTCACTTTAATTTTAAATTTATTTATTTATTTGAAATAAGCCGTTATGTAAAATATCCATTTTTTCCAAGAAAGGATGGATTTATATCCACCCTGGATCCCCAGTACAGCTGGACTTTGCAACCTGCAGGCCCCAAATCTCTCCCACCCCCCAACAGAAGAGGGGGGCAGAATTTGCTCTAACTGGACGTAACTGCAGCAACAGGGCGAGAGTAATCCTTTACTCGGGCCATGCAGCAAACTCCACACTACGGCTGTAAGCAAGGGGCTACTTCAAGGCCCCAGAGCCCCTCTGAAAAGCAGCAAGGAAGAAACACTCCACAGGTCAAATGCTCTTTGCCCTGGAAGGTGACCTGGATGCAAGTTCTGAATAACAGGCAGCCTAGAGAGTCACTGGGAAGACCAGCAATAATGCTAGAAAAATTTAGAGCAGCAGCAGCTATATTAAGAATATGTACTAAGTAACTGGCCCACAGGGGTAGCAATAGGAAAAAGTCCCTGAATACAATCGCCAGCAAGTAGATTCTTAGCAGAGGGCGAGGGCACTGTGCTAAGACAGAGAAAATGCAGCTACAGCTACACTATTAGAGAGCTTGGACCTCCATGTTCCTTAAATTCCCCCCAAAATGGAGAACAGAGCCCCCATACCACCACCAGGTGGACTAATTCTGACCAGAATTCAATTGTGCCTCATGCTATTAGCCAAGATGGCCCGGGATGTAACCCTTCAAAGGTAAACACGCCAAGACTGCTCTGTCAAAATCAAATTGAGGTGTCATATTCTTCCCCAATGCTCTTTCCTCTCCAGTTAATCCTCTTTTTTTTTTCCTTGAGAGAAAGAGAGAGGCAGGCAGCAAGTATATTAATTAATGAAGCAAAGAAACTAAGATCTTAAGAATCAGCCATATGGAGGTTTTTTTAATACACACTCCAGCCTCCTAATTAGCTGCCAGCATGGCCCAGCCATAGTTCACAGAAGCAGCTGATGACTCAAATCATGGGAAAAGCAGGGGAGCGAACAGAGACCATCTTTGTCTGTGGATGTGCCACAAGATAGGCCAGGACGTTTTAGCCGTACCACGGAGGGTGTTGAGAAACTCAAGAGCTACTTTAAATGTTCCAGGCTAGAGCCTCAGCAGAGTCAGCTACCAGGGACACACTAGCCCAAGTAGCCGTCTCTCCCAGATTTGGCACAGTGGGTGCAGTTCTTTGGGAACAACCCCAGCCAGGTCAATAGCGCTAAGCACTTGAAAAATATCTGCCCCCTTCTCCCACCTAATTCTATGGGGCTGCCCCACAACACCCACTGAACTCCTGAAGGCACCTGGCAACAGGCAAGGTGGAGTGCACAGAAGCCGTGTGGTTAAAGCCCCCACTGCTTGCAATTCACAGTATAGAAAGAAATGGGGGGGGGAGGGAAGTTACCTCTTGAGACAGGTAGGGCAAAACTTGAGCACAAATCCCATTTAGCCGCTTGACAATTTCAGCCTGGGGGTGGGAAAAAAAAAAGGGTCAGAAGAGAGGCACATTCCCTGTAGATTAACTGCCCTGGTCAATATCCGTCCACGAGCGTCCCACCCACCTTGCTGTGTCCCCAAGAGGGTGGGGGAAGGGGTGGGGGGCCCTGAAGGATATCCACTCCAGACCCCTGCACAAATAAATCCTGCTGGTCACATCGTGATTTTTCAGTATTTCCTTGTCCTACTCAGGGACTCAAATATGCATTTAATAAAGAAAGCAAAGACCTATAGGAAGGAAATGTATTAGAAACCAGGCTGGGAAGCGCTGAATTACGTACACTGCTTAGATTCCCAGACACACTTTTGTTTCACTGTGGCTGACTCACTTCGAGAAGGAGAGGCCGTGATGAAATCAGCTGTGGGTCTCCTTGGAGTCATCTCCCCTCTCCCTGCACATCTTTAAAAAGTTCTATAAATCTTGAGTTTGCGCACCAGGAATATTCTCACCAGCTGAGCTAGTAAGAGGAGACTTGGCTAATAACCAGCAATAGGCCCAGGGAGAGACAAAGGCCGACTCTTAATAGGAAGGGCAAAGAGCGCCGGGGAGGGAGGGTTTTTAAAAAAACCAAAACAAACCAATCCATAGCAGAGATCAGATAAAACAACAGTGTCAGCTGGTTCCCATGGGCTTTACAAAAAAAGACTGTTAAGTGTTTTTTTAAATATTTTTCTCCTGGGGAATGACAAAGCTGTTCATTCAGTCAGAATCCAGCCTTTATTTTTATTTGTTGTATGGCGAGTAGTACCGGGCTAGGTTGACGATGCAGAAAGGCACCTACCTACAAGGGTTTACAGAAGCCACCAAGCAGGATGGGGACCTCATGTGAAAAAACTAGAAAGGATTCAGAGAAGAGCCAAGAGAGAGATTAAAGGGTTGGAAAGCATGCCTGGCAGCGACAGGCTCCAGGGACGTATCACAGAGAAGGTTAAGGGGTGAACTGATCACAGCTGAGCACTTGCATGGGGAAGTTTGATAAAAATCGAGGGCTCTTCACTCTGGCAGACAGAGGACTAACAAGAGCCAACGGCTAGAAGCTGAACCTAGACACATTCAGACTAGAAATAAGGTGCACGTTTAAGAATTGCAAGCAATGGACCACTGCAGTCGCTTGCCGAGGGCTGTGGTGCGCTCTCCATCCCTGGAAGTGGGTAAATCAAGATGGGATGTTTTCTTAAGAGAGACTCTAGTTCAGCCACAGCTGCCAGACGAGAAGTAGGAATTAACCCAGAGAAGTCCCACGGCCTATATCACAGAGGTCACAATAGGCATGAAAATCTGTGACTTTAAAGTCAATAAGGCTTACTTGCCCCACCTGATTGGGGACTTTTGCTCTTCCCATTAGGTGCCTATCTGCATCTTTCGGATGCTAAACACCTCTGTAATGTGGCCCAGGGCCTCAGCCAGGTCACTGCACGAGTCTAGTGGCGGAGAGAGCTTAGAAACACGGAAGCCAATATTTTGCACATCTCTCACATTTGCCTGATCACCTCCGTCTGCTTCCCTCTTGACAGACAGAAAAAGGCTGCTTACCCCCAAAATGGATGGGCAAACTCAAAGCTGGAATCCACTCAAGGGCTTGGCAGTTAAACTCCACCGCTAACTGGGCTTGCATTGTGTGGGAGACAGTGCGACAGTGGGAACAGACAGAACCCAGTTTGGGGTTTTATTTAGATAGCCATGGAAGGAAGGAAGAAATCCATGTGTGAAAACAGAAGCCCATTATCTCCCCAAAGCCACTGGGCACTTCAATATATCACCCACGTGAGACAACAGAAGGGGCTGGGCATTTCCAAAGGATGGGGGCTCAGTGCTTTTGGAAAGCCAGGCTCTCAGAAAGCACTGAAAACATTGGCTGTGGTCTACAAACTGTCCCCCCTTGTTCCCCAGTTAGGCCTGCCAAATTCTGCAGCATCTCCTGTCCCAGAGCAGGGACTGCCCTTAAACTAAAAACATGCATTTTGGATTGGAGCTGGGACATGAGTCAGAGGCAGGAGCTTGAAGTTACCCAGAGGCCCACAAAGGAGACCTAATTGTACAATCTCCCCACCCCAAAGAGAGAGCTTGAAGAGGTGCCTAGGATCTGCCACCTTCCAGATTCTCCCCTCGCCTGTCCTGGAGCTGCTGCATGACAACAGATCACAAGAATTTCCTACGGCCCCTGAACAGTTAAACCACCCAGCACAAGCCCTTGGGAATCACAGGGTAATTGTTTTCAAAGAATCTTTAAAGGAT